CCCCAAAACCCCAAAACCCCAAAACCCCAAAACCCCTTTAATAAAGACTTGGGTTGAAATTAAAAATATTGAAAATGGAGCATTTTTATAGGATTTTCAGGCAACTTTGCCCAACCTAGTCATCTAAACTAGAGACTGATAGCATCTGGACAAGTTTAAGCAAACCAAAGAAGAATTCAAAGCAGTGACTCTGTAAATTAAGCTTCAAGCGAGCAAACATACCTTTCAGAAAAAGAGTTTATTTCCACTCTCAGACTGCTAGGTTTTACTAAAAAAATTTAAGGAAAGTTAAGACTGAGAACATGATCGATAACAATAATGTGGACTTCTTCCGATGCTTTTGCCAAATCTGACAATGAGTGAATTCTCAAACGAAGAAGACCTCAAAAATTAAGACAACAATGAATATCTGATCAATTTCTACAAATTGCTCCGATATGCAAATGAATATCAAGCAAACCAACTCAAACTAGTTCAAGCAGAATTAAAAGCCAAAAAAGACGAATATCTTAAAATTTACTCTGAAGTCATGGACAAACAAAGCAGATGCGACCAGAGGCAAAATAAAATATTGGATGCGAAGACTCAGATTGCCCACAAGAACAAACTGGTATTGCTCCTTCTAATTCTAGAACTCCCAAGTTGCTGTGAAATACATGATGACAAGAGACGGTGACTCTAAAGGCATCTTTTACTGCTGTTCCAAATGCAAGAGCAAAGCGTCCATGACCAAAGAAGGTACATTTCTGATTAATCAGTAGCAATAACGAACCACTATGCTGAAGTGCACGGGTCAAAAGTGCCTAAATAAAGACCTCCACTGTCTGCTTGCAGAAATAGAGTATAGCTCAGTGTAATATTTAGGAATGAGGAAGAAGAAAAATCATTAAAATAGCGAAAGTAATAATCCTCTATCATCTTTAGGATCAACACGTTCGAGAAGAAAATCTTCAAAGATATCAAAAGATTATAAATTGGTGGCAATCATTCAAAGAGGTAGAAAACTTTCTTGGGAGTATGGAAACAAAAGAATAGTGCATTTTAATAAGAGAGTCCAAAGATTAGAACATTATTTTAAAAAACAAAAGGGTTGCAATAATTTAGGGAGAAATTTAGGATTATTTGTAGATACTATTTAACGTAATATGAGTGAGATGAGGATTTAATCATAATATTATCTGAGAAATGATAAGCACATTAGAAATCATTAAATTTATAATAAACTATTTATGGTATTTAGTACCAAACTTTGTGTTTTTAACGTCCAAATTAAAGACAAGAGAAGAAAAGGAACAGATTATGCTTTTACTTCAAGAATCTTTAATAAAAACAATAGATTCAAAAAATTTATTCATTCAAAACAAAGATCCTTCTAAAACTCTTAAAACGTATCTATGGCACTTCGTATTATTTAGTTATTAAATTTAACAAGAGTTTCCAAAAACATCTAGATCTTTTACAAAGAATATGAGCAAACTATGTAATCTTTGGTGATAAAATAACTATCCTAATAATACATCGGAATTCATCCACCATACCACTGCCTAGACTTGCTTGATTTGACCTAGGACTGACCTATATCGTCGTTTAATTTGGAAAATACTATAAACAGACAGATAATAACTTAGGACAAGCAAGTTATAATTATGAACAACTAAAGCCTACCCTAATAATAGAAACATTCACCCATTCGATGACTAGAAAATCAGATAAGAAGAGAGCAAAGGTTTAACCCTTTCGGCCAGTAAAGGTTGTATTATACAATTTCAATATTTTTATTAAGACATGGGGTTTTGGGGTTTTGGGGTTTTGGGG